ACGCTTAACCGACTGCGCCACCCAGGCGCCCCAATAAAGCATTTGAAATACATAACCATTCTTTTTGAATTCAAATTTCATGGGCTTACATCATATTTAATTACACTGCAGAATTACAATAACAAGAATGATGAATATAAACAAATACAGGAATAAATATAACTGAATCTTTGTAAGCACACAATTGGCTGGGAGGCCTCATGGTTGGGGGGTTATATCAGACCCAGTGGCGGAGAGGGCAACACCAAGTATTCAGTGCACCAAGTTGGTTAAAGCAGTGGCTCGGTAAAAGACTCTCTACTGTGTACCAGGCTCAAAGTACTGTAATAAATATGTTACTTATCATGAATGCCCCAAAATTAACAATCAGTAAAACTTGTAAGTGGGGGGGGTGGGGGGGGTGGGATTTTCCGGCTACTGATTCTTATTTATCAACAGGAAAAACAGCCAGAGGTTTGAAGGAACGGAAATTCCTTGTCTTCATGCTGTTGGGCCTGTTTCTTCTATCTCTCCCACTAGACTCCAAGCTCCCTACATGTCTGTTTCCTTTTATCTCAATAAACTTGCTCAGTTCACTTGCTGAGTATGTTCCCACTTCCTAACGTGGATCTTATAAGTAAAATTTCCTGGGGCTGAAAAAAAACGTTAGAAGGTCTGATTCACAGTCTACTACCTGCTAATATTTTCTATCTCTTTTTCTTTACATGGTATGTATGTTTCCTGACACTGGTTAATTGAATTTATTAACCAGAGTTCCATTTATATTTATATTACTGTTATATTAATACTAATAATATTCTATGAACTATTCTATCTCGATTAAAGCCATAAGTTCCCATTACAAAATAAAAGCAGGCTGAATGTCCTACTGAGTTTGAATTTCACATTCCCACAATATGTGGCAGCTAATACTTCCAGTTTCTGGCACTTCTATTGAGAACATAAAAGTTCTCCCGGAACTAACAAATTACTTCCCTTCTAACACAATTATGTAATCTGAGAGTTGAACGACACCCTAGAGATTATTTTGTGGTCCAAAATCCCTCCCAATTAAGGGATCCCATCAATAAGTACTTAATTTGGGGGGACAGGGAAGGATGTTTATCTTTAAATCCCACATTATAGGGTTCTGCACCCAGAGTAGACTCTTAATACATACTTGTTTAGTTGAACTGAACAAGTCTAAAATGGGTGCATTTCATTAATTTTCTTGTTCTTTCTGGGCTTTTAGCTGTAACATCCACTGAATCTGTAATTAAAAATTTGCATGAATCTTCTGCTCATTAACCAATGTTCAAAAAGAAATTCAAGGAAACTCCACAATCAGTCAAATGTTTTAACATTAAGCCTGCTAATGGCTAATGTCAGTACATAATAAAACTAACAGAAAATGGAAAATCAAGTTTTAGTTTGCGTATGGCCTATAAAGAGTTGCCAATTTATCCAAAATACTCACATGTTCTCAATTTCTAGTATGAGTTTTTAAAAATGAATAAAGTCTTGCATCCTTCATACAACTAAATTATACACCCTTCTACTTATAATTGGGGTGCTCACAGACTTAACCACAGTACTGAAGACATGTTATTATGCTAATTAATTTTCCCTCCAGTTAAAACAGCCTGTGATCCCATCTGATTTCCCATAATATGATATGATAAGAGAACAAAGCCTGTGGAGCAGTAAACACCACCAACAATTTTACCTTACTCAAGTTATGTATTCCAAAACTATGTAATTTACAACATGGCCCTACTTAGTACCTCTATTACCAGGCATCTGTTTGGGGGACTTTTACAATATATGATAGGACACAAAGTATGTATTTCCAAATTCCATTTCCTTCTGTTTTGCTGAAAAGGAACACACACACACACACAGTCCCTCAACAGCACAATTACTGCTTTACTAAATTTTTTCAGGCAATAATTTAAAGTCCCACTTCCTCCTAAATATCTCTGGACAGCAACTCTTGGCAATCCATCTGTCTCTTTCATCATAGCTTCTTTTCATAACTAACGGGTCAAGTTCCGCTCCCCCCATTTCAACACCATGCACTGTACTTGTAGCCTGCCGCGATAGCTCACTGCTGAATGCCAGAATATAGCATATTGAATTTCACTGTCCTTCATTGTTTCCACTTTAACTGCCATTTTACCCCATGCACAGGAGACAAACGCTTTCCCACAGGCATCTTATGAATTTCCAAAGCAGCTAATTCTTTGTGGATTTACAAAAACGTCTGCCTTCTCTAAATTCCCTTTATCACCACAGAAACGGCTCTGAAAAGCTGAGATTTTTTTTTTAAGTACCCCAAGCAAAAACTGATTTTAAGCATTTCTATTTAGCTAGCAAATTTAATCCTAAAGGCCTTCCTATAGGGCAATGTCAGGGCACAGATCTGAAACACCGCCTTTGGCCTTCCCAATGAAAATGAAATATTTTCAGCCCATAAAAATTATCTTATCAAATGTCCTTTCTTCTCAGCTACACCAGAAGGGGCTACCCAGCACATTGTAAAATAAACAATTAGCTTTGGCTTTTGCACTACGCCCTAAATCTTCCCAACCCCCCGCCCCCCCTTAGGCTCACAGACACACATAATCCCTCTGCAACCC